AGTGAAAAGCCTATGCCATATGCATTCCATTTGTTTCTTTCCTACATAGCCATCTCTTCACTAAGGTCCTAGTCTGAAAATAAAAGAAGAATTCACTTATCAAAGTGTGAAGAGAAAGGGGAAATGTCAAAGCTCTTCCAAAGAGCATTTAAGGTTGGAGTCCATTTTATCACGATTTTTCAAAGTGCAATGCTGTCTCTTTTAATCTGTTACTCTCTACGCTTAGAGCTCATGTGTCTGCTCTTCTTCCCTCCACCCTCAACTTGTTAACACCGAAGTCAACACATAGCTGTACAGCTAGTTGGGGAAACATTTCCAAATAAATAGACAGGGGTCCCTGGATTCTTCTATCCCCTATCCCCTATCCTGAGAGACTTAGACTTGGCAAAACACTAAGGAATTGCCTGGCCCTGTTACAGAACCCCCATATTTTCTATGTCAGTTAACACCTCAAATGGATTTACAACACTTTGTGTTAAAAAGTAAGGTGTATATTGTACTCCCCTTTCTGTCTGGAAAGGAAGCTTGATGTGGGGCTTTTCACTTGCACATTTGGTAAAACCAAGCCCTTGGGGAGACTAACATTTTGCCTTTGTCTCATTTGAGTGAGATAGGGAAGGAAAGAGGCCCAACAAAGAAATATTCTAGGAAAAAAAGTCTATTCCCTAATAGTTCCAGTTTATATATAGAACCCCAAGAACCTCATGAATTTTAAAAAGAATTTAATTTGGAAGTATGTACATATTTTATCTTCCAAAGATATGGTGGTATCTTTATGCAAAAACCCAAATAAAAGGATACTTTTAGGGCAGTGATTTACTGAAATTCTATCTTTTGCATTGCAGAGGAAGCCTTCTTAGCAGCAAGGGTCTCACTGGCTGTTAGGAGGATGGTGGTCGAGGCAGCCATTTGCTCACTGAGCATGGGTAGGGGAGGGTCATGAGGGCTTGGCAGAACTGACCTGAAGGTAGAGCAAGGTGAGCACAGTGGAGGGAAGTCTTCCACTGGTGCACAGAGAAATTCTGAGACGCTCATTGTTGCAGAAAGAGAGGAAAAGACACTTCCTCCGTTAGGCCCCTGGAAGGAGTGGAAAGAGACAGAAGAGGAAGTGACACACGCAGCAGCTTGTCAGGGACGCCTAGATGCAGAACCTGGAGAAGGGTCCCTTGCAGCAGGGTCCAGCCCAGGTCCCAGCCCATGGCCATGCGTGGTCACGAGGGTGGTGGCACAGGCTTTGACCATTCACTTTCCACTCACTGCTGCCCAGGGAAACAGCGTCGCTTGTGCAGTTTCGTAGAGAAACTTAGTTGTATTCAGGTTGATTTAACAGACACTTCCTTGGCCCTCGCTTCGTATCAAACACTGCTTTAGGTGCTGGGATTATAGATGAGCAGCACACAGTGTCTGCCTTCGAGTTGTGTTTTGGAATGTTTTGCTGATGCAAAGAGGTAATTTCCTTTGTCCATTAGGTGACATGTAAGCCCTCCCACAAATGGCGTCTGACTAATTAAAATGACAAGTTTATACGAGTTGCGGTGAGGTGCAGGTGCTCTGCCTCCTGTCCGGGCACCGCAGACGGTGACTGTGTGTGGCAGAATGTGCTCGGCCTGGTCAAGCCTTAGAGAAACTGGACACCACAAGGCACGCCTGCTCTGGTTCCTGAACTCACTGGTTGTTTTTAAGAATATATAACTGTCCGCTGTTGTAGGAACAATAACGAAGGGTAGTTGTTTGACTCAGGGCTTTCAAGTGACTTATTTATGCCTAGGTAGCATTCAAGTTCAAAGGACAGAGAAGCAAACAATTAGAATTACAGCAGCATGAACAGAGACAGTGTCAAGTTTGTGGCAGAAATTGATAGAAATAAAACAGAGTCTTGGCTAAGGTGAAAAGCTTATTTTAAATTATATTGAAATGTTGGTGATGCTTCCAACCACCATCCCCCGTTTCTACCACAATGAGCTACTTTTTTTTTCATTCTTCTTTTCCACGCAAAGAAAAGAACAGACCAAGGACATAGAACTCTGTATTGCAGCCAAGGTTAGAGCTGAGATATTTTTGGCTCCTAATTCTCTGCTGAGTCCATTAGACTATCTCCTCTTCGTTCTATTATTTGATTTTCTGTTCACTGAGTGTTTACATACTCAAACCGATAAAATGCATTTTTGTTCTTATGTTCCTAATGCAGTGGAGGTATTTTTCAATTTTGCCAAACAGTAACACTCCAAACATGGCAAATAACTGCTTTCAACAAAATGTTTTCAAGGCATGCTTTGAAATGGGAGTTAAAAATAGGAATGCAAATGCTAATAACAGTATTGATAAAAGAAATTCTGGCTTTGAAAGTGAGAAATTCAATTAGAAAAAAAAGGTGAAAGTATTTGAGGAAAATATTCTGTAATGTAGGAGAATACTAATGGAAAATTTAGCTCCATGGCATTATTAAAAATTAGATATATTTTGCTCAACATAGTTACCTTCAAGTCAGCTAAGATAAAATAAGGAAGCGTTTCTGGGGACATCCCATTCATCCCTGAAGGTAACATGCTGAAATTTGGATTACTTTAATATTTGTAAACAATGAAAAGGAAGACTACTAATTCCGGGTTTTACCCATGGGACCCAGCTCAAGTAGCTTCTTAATGTTCAAACACACATGCCAATCATAAACTGTATTTTTCTCAAAGAAGTTAATGGTTTACTATGTATTTTTAAGATCATCTAGCATACAAGTGCTTACATACTTAGACAAAAAATGTTATATGAAGGTGCTTTATTTTTTTATAGGATCTCACCCAAAGGCCCTCAAGGTACTTATAATTGCCTGTCATTAATTTTCACGGCATTTCTATGAGGGAAGGAGCAAAAAGTATTCCGTTCATTGTCACCATCAACATTTTTAGATAACTTACTTTTAAGACACTTTGCAAAACTTAAGAAAGCTGCTATGTCTGTCTGCAGGGTGCTTAAAACCTGAGAAGTCCTGGCAAGGTCTACCACACAGATAGCAACACCATTTACAGCAAGCAAAAGTCAAATGCCCTCCAGAGCCAAAGAGTCTATCATCTTCCTCCTGAACACATTCCAGCAAATAACTGGAATCTTAATATTTTGTGTTTTGATATAAAGCTGTTTACTCGGGATCTTTTTCTCAGTGCACACTCAGCTTAGTCCATTACCAAACTTGGTAAAAGAGAAGTGAATTTCTATCCCTATAGGCCTTGAGTGAACAGAAAATGAGCACTATCAAATAGGAGTTTTCACAGAATCTTAACAATTGCCCAGAGTTGGAGTGGGGATGGTCAGGCTAACAGTAGCTTTTTGAAAACATATAGATATTTGGAAATGTAGTTATATACTATGTAAGTAATTTATATGTAGACAGAGAGTTGAGTGAGGACTAGCTCTTAAGCCAGACTGTTAAAAAGTACATATTATGTAACACTAGCTGTGCAAGATGTTCTTGAAATAAAAGGTCAATACATTTGTTGAACTATTCATTATTATTCTCTTTCAGATATTAACCACATTTGTGTTTCCAGGGGAGGCAAGGGGCATGGGGGGGGTGCCAGGGGACCATCTTCAATAGTATATTAGAGGTTCTGATAAGTCTTGAAGTAAAGAAACTTACTCAACCTTATAAAACCTGCCCAAATTTATTTTAACACCAAATACTTTTTCAAGTAGCATCATCCATACAGAACAAACATTGGGAAAGTAGACTTAACTCATGTCATTTGAGTATTAACATCTTGGGGACATTTCCTCTTCACTAGACATGGTCTTTGAGCTCAATGAGATCATAATCTGGAGGAGATACTACATGGTGTTTATGACATTAAAAATTTTTTTTAAATGTATAAAACAGAAATGCTGGGCTCCAAACGACTGGGACAGACCAGAATGTGTCTTAGGTGTTAAGAGAGAAGTGTAGCACAGGAAGTTGGGTTTGTATAACAGAAGGTCAAGCAGTCTTGGGGTGTGCAGAACGGAGCAAGGTGGTGCAAGTGTGTGGGGTAGGTGTGGGGTGGAGCGTGGGAGAGGAGAAGAGGAAGAGCATGGTGCTCCATCTTATAAGGGTGAGCACAGAACGCTTGGTTATATGCAGGCGTGGCCATGCTAGGTGAAGGAATATAGACTTTATTCCCAAATCGCCAGACTTAGATGTGTTGGTAGATCTTTAAACTTCACCTCATAGACTCCACTGTGGCTGCTTCCCATCAAAAGGTGGCCTCTGTCTCTATTCATTTCTTATCCAATTCCTTGCCTTTCTGTCCAGGACCATCCTCCAGATGTGCAGGGCTGGAGCAGGACTACAGTTGCAGGCCTACATACCACAGATCTAAACACATGAAATATTAATAGCAAACTAGGAAGACAAATGATTAAATGTACACCGTGGCGTCCTCCTACACTCACAAATACACCTTCATAGTAACCTGCGAGGCCAGGTTCAGATGTGGGATTCTTGGGATAGGCAGAATTCTAAAAATAGCCAGTTAAGGATTGAATTATGTACTCCCCAAATTCATATGTTGAAGTCCTAACCCCCAGTAGCTCAGAACATGATGTGTTTGGTGACAGGGTCTTTCAAAGGTAATTCAATTAAAATGAAGTAATTAGGCTGAACTCCAACCCGACATACTAGTATCCTTGTAAGAAGAGGAAATTTGGACATGGACATGTACGGAGGGAAGACCACGTGAAGCACAGGAAAAGGCAGCCACCGATGGGCTGAGGAGAGAGGCCCCCAGAGGAGACCAAGCCTTGACCTCAGACTTCCAGCCTTCAGAACTGTGAACAACGGATTCCTATCGTTTAGGCCGCCCAGTCTATGAGACTTTGTTATGGCACCCTGAGAAATCAGTACAGCCCTGCTAACCGCCCCTCAATCCCCAGAATGTATAAAAACATGATTAGATGTCACTCATTGGTATATATTGTACGGCACAGCTGACCTCCAAATAGAGACATTATTTTGGATTTTTTAATGGGCCCAAAGTAATCCCATGGGTCATGAAAGGCACAGAGCTGGTGTCTGAAGGCGAACCCTACAGGTGTGAAACACGAGGACTCCATGAACTGCTGCTGGTTTGAGGATGGAGGGGCCAGGTGAGAAGGGACGCAGGTGGCCTGAAGGAACTGAGAGAAAGGCCTCTGGATGACAGTCAGAAGGGAATGGGGACTGCAGTCCTACATCCATGGGGAACTTAAATTCTGCCAAGAACCAATCAAGCTTGGAAGTGGCTTCTTCCCTAGATCCTCTGTAGGAGCCCAGTCCAGCACACGCCTTGACGTTGGCCTTCTGAGAACCGTCAGGGAACCCATCTGAGTCCTTTTGGACTTTGGACCTGTAGAATTTATTGTGAGACAATAAATGGGTATTGTTTTAAGTTGCTATGTTTGTAATAATTTGTTATGCAGCAATAGAAACTACTACAATACCCTTAGAGTTTTAGCTTAGAATAGGAGAGCAGTGGTCTATAGCTCACGCCCTTCTCTTCCTACCTCCAGTACCATCCCTTGCTGTGAAGTCCAGCACACGAGAGCACAAGTGTTACAACATCATACCCTCTGCAAACAGCTACTCCTTAGCCAATCTTTGCTCCTAGATGTGCATCCATTTGCCTCATGATTCATTATCAGGAGGACAGACTCAGGGCAGAGACCCACACAGGCCCTAGAAGCAGATTCTGGGCTGGCTGTTTGGGAAGGAATTTCCAGGGTCACAGATATCTGGAGCCTGGTCTGAATTAGAGAATCAAACCCCCTAGTTGGCTGCCTGCACTGGTCTGTAGAATTCACGCTGAGCATTGATGTGATGGCCTGGAAGGGAGCCACGTAGGAGGAAGGCCACACGGTGCTTCAAAGTGCAGAGCCCAGGACTAAGCTCCTGGTGGCTGGGTCTGGTGGTGAGACAGCCTCTGCTCAGTGCTTTTGTAGCCTCAAGAAAGTGCAAGAGTTCCCACACAAAATAAATCAAGAAATTTCATCGTAATGGATAATTAAGTAAGAGGTTTTTTTCCTTTTAAATCAGAGGGATAATATGATAAAAATAAATTTTGATTCTCTTTAGTTTTAAGTTATTTATAAGTTGGATGTGAGGTACAAAAGATTGGAGAAAGACTTACTGGATGGCAGGTATATGAACACAAGGTAAGAAGAATTCAGATGCGAGCAGCAACAATGGAAATGTGTAAAAAAAATACCAGTGAAAGTATTTTTTGATAGAGTTGAACTAGAAATTGCGATAGTGTTTTGAAGTGGAGACATGTTGCATGCGGTGCATGACACGAAGCAGGGATTCGAGGCAAAGATCAGCACGGGGCAGTGGACCACTGTGCCTGAACGAGTGAGATGGGTCGCGGAAGGTGTAGGGACATAAGAGTTTCCAGGGAGCGCACAGAGGGATGGGAACAACAGCTTGGAGCATGTGGCAGATCAGAGTCAGAACAAAGAAAATCCAGAGACCAAGTAAGCGTCTCAGAGAAAGGAGGAGCACAGGATAAAGATCCCTTCCAGCAGGTCCCTGCTGAGACGCATGTGAGAAGAAGGAAGGGTGAGACTATGTAGAATCAGGTGAACATGAACCTGGAGCAGACTCTTTCCTCCTACTGTCTGCTTCTCTTGCATTTCTTGCCTCTGAGCCAACTTCTGGTTCTCTCCGTGGCGTCCTGTGTAGGTGAACCATCTTGCTTGGATTTCCGTGTCGGAGCCGTTCCTCCTTGCCGACTTTGCTCCGTCACAGGCCGGCGAGGCTCGCTGCGCCTGATCCTGTCTCCGCGCTCAGCTCTCCTCTATCAGAGACGATTGAGTGGGAAGGTTGGAGACTTTTCTCTGGCCATGCTGGGTGGTCAGTCCTCAAGGTTAAAAGCAGCAACAAGGAGAATAAAGATTAGGAAAAGGAAGTGGAGATTAGGCAGCTATCGCAGGATTTAAGAGACCATTTCTTCCCAGAGAAATTGAAAGGAAATCAATTGATGGATCAATAATCTAACCTTATAGTCTTATCACTTTGTATCATTGATTTTTCTAGGGAATTTGAAGAGTGTTCGATCTGAAAATTAATTTGGTACTCATTATTTGGAGGAAAAATGTAGAGCCAGAGTTCATGGAGTTTTGCCATCGATTTCTTATTTCTGTTCCTTTCAGAACGTAAGAAACAACTCCATTCCATTCATCCGACAGGGCAGGGACAAACATACCATGCGAACACTTGGCATAAACGGTGAGGATTCCTGTAATCAAGATCTCGGTCACAAACGGTGCACACTCCTCCAGCCCACACATTTATCGAGTTCTTACTATATACTGGAAACTATTAGTCTATATGCTGGTTTGAGTTGTTACAAGAATATAAAATCCTTGGCCCTCAAAAGTTTACATTTTAGGGATATAAGACAGACGCAGTTAAAATAAAAACAAACAAAATGCTTTCAAAAGCAGAAATGACCTATGTAAAAAATGTAATTTTTAATGCAAATTGATATTTCATGTGTTCTCTAAATTTATTCTAATGCTATACTTTTCTAACCTTCCCTACACCAAAACTTTTCTATGAATTTTGAGGCTAGGCTGGTGATTGGATCTTTGTTAGATGTTGTTTATTTGGTTCCCAGCGACTGCAGTGTATAGTCTCCAATATGTCTTTGATTCAGGTAGCAACCACATCAGAGACATGAGGATCATTCTAGCCTCTTTTCTTGGCAAGAAAATCTATTGAGCCCTACATCTTGTCATTTTTCTTCCCTTGATATATTTATTTATTTATTTTCCCTTGATATATTTAGAACTCTCTTTGTCTATGCCAATTCCATGACTACTTAACTAAATGGCATTACCTATATCTTGGGCTATTTAAATAGTCTACTAACAGGTCTCTCTGCCTTCCCTAATTTGAATGAGCCTCCAATTTGCCCCATACCCAGAATGGTCTTAACGCTCAAATGTGATTATGTCATATCTTTACTTAATATCTTTCAAAATCTTCTCATTAGCCAAGAATAAGGTATAACACAGTAGATTTGGTTAATACAGCTTTTGGTAACCTGGCCTCTGTTCGACTCACCATGCTTAATTCCACCGTTTTCGCTCCCACCAACCTGACCCAGCTATGCTAGTGATCCTAAGAATTTAGAAAGGACACCTTTGTGACATGGTCTCAAGCCAGCCTCTGACATGTCATAACCACAGTAGTCTATTCAGACCTTGCCTGGCCTGTTTTGTCTTCACTGCGGTGAATGGAATATTACCTACTTCATGAGGTTGTTAGGAAGATCAATGTATGCTAATTTCATAGTTACGCACCTTTTACATTAACTAACACATAGTAAATGCTCCAAATTATAGTTATTATTATCATCACTTACTCTTTGTCTGCAAGACTCTTTCTTCAATGTTTAACTAGGTATTCGTGAAACAGGCTTTGATTCTTCCTTCAAAATTCAACACATACATAACCTTCTCTGAGACATTTCATAAACTTACAAGGATTAAGTTCTTCTGAATTTGTAAGAATTGGTATCAATCTTAGTTCCACTATATTCTATTTGTATAACAAGACAAATTTTTCAGATTCTCGGTTTTCTCATTTTTTGGAATGAGGATAAAAATCATTATCTTGTGATTTTATGTATTATACTATTGTTTAAAAAGGACAAATAAGTCTACCTCTTCTTTCCCAATAAATGAATGTTCTCTCATTTCCATTTTTTCTCTCCATTTCTTTGACGTTTTTATATTTTCAATATGAATGGAAAGGTGTAGGTTTATTATTGGTTCCTTTAAATTTTCCTCACAAGCCCCTGCCCTGATCCTGAATCAATTAATTATTCCTTTCTATATTTCTTTCAGAAACATGAAGGCCGTTATTTATAAGTCTAGTAGAATATAGGCATGAACCTGTGCGCACTTATGTGTTTGCCTTTATTCAGTATGAGTGCATTATGCTGCATTGAGACCTGCACCACCGGAGCTCGTCACCTGTGGAAACTCCACGTACAGCAGACAGAATTAATTAATACAGACGGTCTTGTTTGTGGTGAGTGTTGGCAAGTGGAGTACAAGTCCTATTTGTGGTGAGAAGCACTCTATTGTCTCTTGAAAAGGAGATTATTTAGTGTGGTATAAGAGTTTCTTTAAAGAAAACTTGCCAGTGCTGGAAAAGGCACATGGTCATGGGCAGAAGAAATTCCAAATAGGCACCTTTAAAAAATACATAGTTATTTCTGTAAACATGCACAAAATACGCATCGGCCATTATCTTTTAAATAACAGTGGACAAAATGGAAAAATGTTAAACTCTCAATCTGTGATGTTTGCACATTGCATTTTTGTTTTTATCATGCTTCTTCAATGCAAATACATCCCTTTGCAAACCTATCCCGACAAAACTCCACAATCTCTGTACAACCATGTTATTTCAATAATACTATTTGAATGATCATATCAGAAGATGAGCAGAATCGAAAGCAATGTCCTCCTAGATTTTTAATAACGAGATTATGCTTATACTTCCTGGTTCAGGCATTTCTTACAACACCTAACAGGTGGTCACTAAATGAAATCTATAGTCGACCCACAGTGTCATTTTCATCTGCTTCTCTCTTAAGCAGAATCACCTTCAGTCAGCTCTTGTTCTATGGGTTTTTAAAAGTGTGTAGAAGTGCTTCCTTGATCGATACAATATGGGATTGTAATATCCCCAGAGATTGAGGTGTGTCTGCAATAACATCGCAAGTTTATTGATGTTACACTAGCAACTGATTGCTGCAAAGTTGCTACTTACTGTGTAGCCTCACAGAAGGTTTAGCTTTCTCTCAGTATCTTTGCAAACCATTTGGACCATGCTGAATGATTTCTTGAATGAGTTGACTCATCTTTTGCTGTTTCACACACGCATACTCCTGAAAGAGATGAATCACCAAGAGGAGTGAACCTTGAGCGCAGACTGAAGCTCAGCCAAAGGAAATGCCAAGCCAAATAAATCAGCGTTCTCTTCAGCTGGGTTGCCTGCTGGCTCGGGAAGGACGGGAGACTCAGGCGCAGACCTCGAGTCTCACTGAACAGAGAGTAGAGGGACGTTCCAGGGACGGGAGATCCGGACACGGCCAATCAAATCATCCTGGGGTGGAAAGTCTCAGAGTAGCTAGGAGACAGAAAATGCTATAAAAATGCATCAAGTTAATTTCACGCTTTTCCACCTTCAACTTTCGCACAAATTAAATTTAATGCTCCTCATCCCAAGTGGTCTGCATGCAAAATGGTACCACGTGGTGGGGGTTGGTGGAGATAAAAAAGAGTTCAGTGCTATTTATCAAATAGTAAGAAAATATTTGTTTTGTGATCATGAGTAGCTTCGCAGGAATTAAATGTTCCTCTCCCCTCTCCTTAAAGGCATGGAAACTCTAGTAGCTCACACAACATTAAAATTACACTATTTACCCTTCCTCAAAATTAGATACCAAGGTAAGGTTATCAACTTATTCAACCATCCACCTTTAGTTCCAATTTCCTCATAAAAATAAGTGGTTTTATTCATTAAGTGATCCTTAGAACATCTTCCTGTATTAATGATTTAGAACAGGGGTCCTCAAACTTTTTAAACAGGGGGCCAGTTCACTGTCCCTCAGACCGTTGGAGGGCCAGACTATAGTTTAAAAAAAAAACAAATTCCTGTGCACACTGCACCTATCTTATTTTGAAGTAAAAAAACAAACGGGCAAAAACACCTGCATGTGGCCTGTGGGCCGTAGTGCGAGGACTCCTGATTTAGAATCTACATAGGGCCCATATTTATTGACTGTCTCAATGTAAATGCTAGAATAAAACTCCAAAGGACAGGAAGACATGGTATATGCGTGGTCTACACCATATCTGAAAATAGACATAATCTAATATTTAGTAGAGTTACTGACACCAGTTTTCTAAGACCAATCAATCCAAACTAACCCTGCCCATACAAGACAGCCCTAAGCAGTAGCTAAGAATGAGGGTGTTTGGCCTGTGAATATCTGTGAAAAAATCTTACAAAATGTATCCTGCCCTTCCTCTCTTATTTTCCTTGTCTGAAATATAATACCAACCTAACAAAGAGCACTGAAGAGGTTTGGGGCTTAGGGAAAAGTCTTCTGATTCTTTCAGGAATAAGAAAGAATAATACAAACCCACAGGAACCATACAAGTTATAAGAACTGGGGGGTGGGGGGCAGGGAGAATGCAGAGATAAGGAAGGAACCAAAAATAGTTGTAAAAAATGTTTTTTTGCTCATTTTTCATCACAGTTAACATATTCTTCCTGCTCCTTGACTCTCCTAAGACATTTTCCCTCTATTTTATTCCTTAGTATGATTACATTTTTGGGCCTGGAGTTTGGAGGTTCCTGCCTAATAACTCTTGAGGGAAACTTCTCCCGCAACCCGTGTGTAACCCACCAGCCCTGTGATGGCGAGTTAAGGTGAAAATTAGCAGGTTATGTTTTTGCTGGTCGCTTTCATTGGGTTGGGCTTACTTCGCTGTAATGTTTCTTTTTGATGAGGCAAAAGAGGTGGTGAAAGTCTTTTTTATTTCTTATTTTTCCCCAACATAGAAGGGATATAAGGCACTGGAGATGTGCACGGAGACACTGGCTACCACGTCACCATCCTTTCCTCTCGTGACAATGACTCTCATCAGAGAGGAACGTGCAGTGCAGTCTACTCACTACACCACAGGAGGCAGAAAAAAAATAAGAGAAAGTATTTAACTTGATAAACTTTCTTCCCTAGATGATGCCTAAAAATGCCGTGATAATTTTTCTTCACTATTGTATCCCTATAAAGTATGGCATGAATTTCAGAGATTTCATCTTCTCAGTAGGACTTATAGAGAACATGATATGCTCTTGCCTTGGGCAATCAGGCATTTGTGGACATTTTTTTCCTTCTAATTCAAGCAAAGTATCTTTGAGAAATATCATCTTATTTTTCCCTGAATTTCATTACTTTCTTTTATTCTGTAAGCCTCCACTTAAGATCCTGCAGTTAAGCCAATGCCCATACATTTCTCTGCTGGAATTTATCCACCCTTTGCCCAACCCTTTGGTCTGTAGTAGCTCTCTTTTTTTTTTTTCTGGCCTTTCCCATCCACACCTCCACCTCATGGACTGGTGATCCCCTTAATCATCTTTTAAAAGTTGCTCAGATACTTCTGTGAAACCTTCTCTGTCTTCCCCAGGAGTGTTAGTTGCTCCCCTAAGTACCATGGAAACCTTCCATTAGCACTTACCTAATTGCACTGTGGTTATCGGCTCTCATCTGTTTCTCCCACTGGAGTGTGATCTTCCTATGGGCATCACTATGCCTTTGTCAAATTTGTATCCCCGGGGTCCAACCTAGTACTTTGGCATTCAATAAATGTTTGATAAATGAATGACTCAAGAGCAGGATAAAAGAGAGGGAAGCAGAGTACAGCATAAAAGAACTACATTACATAAAGGTTGACCTAACGCCTGCCGACTGTCCCACTGTCCTCTCTGCCCCTGTCCCCTGGCAGCAGCATCAATGTGGACAACATGAGGTTACTTTGAAGTGTAAACTGGAGCTGGTCAACAGGATGCAGCAGAATGAGTGAAACCACTGATTCGGTGGACTCTGGCTAAGAGGTAGTTGTTGTCATGGTATTGTGTGATAAAGGACTGGTGATTTTAAAGCCCTTAGGTTTGATTATAACTTGTGGTTATTGCAATGATCTGCAGTAAGTGGTAATAATGATGAGTTAATATTTATGAACTACCTGCTATGTGGCAGACGTCTATCATGCTAGGTACTTTTCTACATTATCAATAGTCTTCTCAGGAATCTTACATCATTTTCCTAATTTAGAAAATTTGTATAAATTTTTACAAGGGTACAAGTACAGTTTCATTACATGGACCATCACTAGAATATTATACATTGCACCCATTGAGTTATTTCTCATCCCTCATCCCCTCCCACTCTCCTACCCTTCCAAGTCTCCAATGATTATTATTCCACACTCTATGTCCATGATTTGCATAATTTTGTATATGAAGGAGAAAAAAAATCTAAGAAAGTATTTCAAACTAGGCCTCACAGCTGTTAAGTGCTGGAAAAATCCAAGC